ACCGAGAGCAGGGGTGCTACATCCGCGAAGCACTCTCTGTTGACAACGTTATTGCCAAATCCCTGACAAGAGTTCCGTCATCACCTAACTACAAGGGCTGCGGTCCAAGGCTAATGAAAGTAAAACTACACTCCGATGGAATGACGCAAGTTCTGTTGGATAACTGGTTAATGTTTCGAGCTAGGTTGCCAACAGAGATCCGGCTAAAGCAGCAGGCGAACGGCCAAAAGTTGGAAGTAATTCGATGGAACTTGCAAACACTACAAATTCTTTATTTACACAGTCTTGCGGAGAGACCGACACAACAGCGCCCACGGCACACAACAGAACAGAGCATAGCACTAGTGAAACGGCTGCTCAGGAACGCTCGACAATGCCATGCAACATGACTGAAATACACAAACCAAAAAACGATTAATTGCCGGCTACCTAACGGCCGGCTTAAAAGCGAACACAAACTTGACATCCACCAGGGAACTCCTAACAACAAAAGCCCTATCTTGCATGTACACAAACGTTCAAGGCCTTCGAAGCAGGTTGGCCGAACTTAGAGAACTCCATACCTCCCAACCGCGGGACCTCGTCATGATTACAGAGACATGGTTAAACCCTGAGATAACCGACTGTGAGATCAAGTTACCCGGTATGTCGCTGCTTCGGACCGATAGAACCGGAATGGGTGGCGGTGTGATTCTTTACTATAATATAAACCTCCGATGTGAAGTTATCGATCACCCGGAAATCCGAGCTCCTGATTCGCTTTGGTGCCGCCTTTGGTCGCGAAACAAGGTCACATGTCTGCTAGCCCTGATTTATCGCCCACCAAACTCAACGTCGGAAATGGACTCCAAACTGAACCACGTTTTTCAGTTTGCTTTGAGCAAGTCCAATACCCAGATTCTTATCGCTGGAGACTTTAACGTGCACGACATAAAAACACCAGCAACCGACGGTACGCAGTTTAAAGCCTGCTTGCAAGAGCTAATTGCTAGCCACCCTCTATACAACCACGTTACCACTCCCACCATATTTCGAACTGCTAACAAGCGGTCGATACTGGATCTTGTGCTAACTAACGAAGAACTCATGCTTGGTTGTAGTGATCATGTTACTCTACTCTTTGACTATATGTGCTATGCGGAGTACCCTGGAAAGGAGGATGATAAAGTGCATACTGTCAAGCACTATAATGTGTTAGCTAAGTTTTTTAAGGATACTTCTTGGACTTTCTTAACCGTGTTCCCCTAGATGTTATCTGGGAAACATTTACAAGGACGTTTAGCACACTGGTTGCCCGCGCATGTGAACAGAAGTCCTTCCAATCCAAAAACAACCATAAGTCATTTTTGAGGAGCAGAACACGTAAATGTATGTCCCGGAGGGATTTATTTGGCATGGTGAGATCACTAGAACTGCTCGAATGCCGAAACCTGAACTGCATACGTGACACATCATAAGTTCTGTGTGAAATTGATCCGCGAAGACAAGGTCAATCATCAGCAGGAGTTAATGAAGCGATTCTGCACGAATCGCAAACTCCTGTACAGGCACGTTAACGGCCTTCGAAAGGTAAAACGAGGGGTTCCAGCGCTAGTCACGGCTGATGGGTGCACACGATCAGCAATGGAAGCAGATGATCTCCAACGGCTTCATTACTTCCAAACTTTTCAGGAGGTAACGAGCCCAAACATTCACCTCATTTCTATTACTCTACCATCGGGTTTAGACAGCATCACCTTCACTGCGTTAGCTGTGTTGAAGAAGTTGTTATCCTTGCATATCCACAGTTCTTTCGGAGCCGACAACATCCGACCAAAAGCTCTGCAGGCGGTTGCTAGTGGTCTAGCAGAACCACTGGCTGTTTTCTACCAGCGATGTTTAGAAGAGAACCGTATTCCGCAGTATGGAAGCGAGGGGTCATCACTCCTATCCATAAAAGGAGGTAGCCGCACTGATCCTGCCAACTATCGTCCAATAACACTACTACCCGTACTATCCAAAGTGATGGAATCAATCATCGCAGATGCGCTGATGCGGTATCTGGAAAGCCACAACCTAATAGCTCCAGAGCAACATGGCTTTCGTCAAAAGCATTCGTGTAATACTAACCTATTAATTCCACATAATAGCTGGACTGAAGCTGTTGATGATGGAGCAGGAGTCGATGTCATCCACCTGGACTTTTCAAAAGCGTTTGATCGCTTAGACCATCGCATTCTCCTTCACAAGCTTCGGAACTACGGCATTGGCGACCCAATCCTGAGTTGGAATAGCAATTTTCTACACGAACGACGGCTAGCGGTGAGAGTCCGAGAATCATTGTCTGATGCAATCGATGTGGCGTGTGGAGTACCACAAGGCTCGGTTCTTGGACCTCATCTGTTTTTGGTGTTTAGTAACGATTTGGCGTGAGCAATTGCTTCCGATTTCCTATTTTTCGCTGATGATATCCAGATTTGGCGAAGGATCAGAGGACCGGACGACCACGGGCGGCTCCAGTGTGATCTTAATGCAGTGTCGAACTGGTCAGTTCAAAACGCCCCCCCATTCAATGTAGACAAAGATCGCGTTGTACAATTACGCCATAGGCATAATTAACCCTACTTACTTGGAATAAAGTGATTGCAGACCAGCTCCCAGGAAGGTGACCTTGGTATGCTCGTACAGAGCGACCTCAACTGTTCAACACAGGCTGAGGTAGCTGCGACAAGAGGCAACCAACACGTCGGCATGCTGCGAAGAGCATTCGGGAGATCTGACCCATCAAGCTTCCCAATGATGCACAATTCCTACTTGCGCCCGCATGCTGAATACGCTATCCAAGCTTGGCAACCTTGCTTGAAGCGCGACCTAGAAGCGTTAGAGGCACCACAACGAAGAGCAACAAAGAATGTAAAGGGCCTGCGCTATCACTCTTACCACCGAAGGCTGGTTGCTGGGAATTTTCAGCGGACGCTATCGAAGGCTGCCCGGCGATCTCATATTAGCGTATCAGATACTAAGTGACCCCAACCACGTATGCCATCATTTTCTGAAACTTAGCCACAACACGCAGCTCAGGGGTAACTGCTTAAAATTAAAGGAACAATATAGCCGTCTAGAGTGTCGACGGAATTACTTTTCCCTTCAGGTTTGCCAACCTTGGAACGCACTCCCAGACTCAGTTGTATCCTCTCCTACCTTGGACGTTTTCAAAAAACGATTAGATGTTGCTCTTAGCTCTCAGCATTTTGTTACCTGAACTCCTCTATTGTGGATTACGCCAAGCATGCTTTTCAACATGATTTATGTATCAAATGGACCGAAGTGAGCGACCATATTTTACTTTCCTCACGCCTTATATCAACGATGACTGCACCCCAGTAGCTTTCTGAACGTTTACGCTCGATTTTATTTAAGTTTTACACTGATGCAATTTATCGAAGTATTCATCTCGGCAGACGTTCGGTAGATGACCGAGGTATATTTTGATTTCATCATATTCACCCCAACCATCCTCCGGTACGTGTCAAGCACTTGCTTTTATCCCGTGATAAAGCATTGTTCATTGGTCATTGAAATTAGTGGAACCATGCAATTTCCACAACAACGTGTTTCGCTCCGGTCAACCTTGGAAGATGATGCAAATAGGGGGATAAACATAAGAGGAAATCGAAGCAACACTTGTAATCGTGTTTCTTGGTCGAACGGCGGTTTCCTGTTGACATAGTGGCACCAATTGTTATTTGAGCAAAAGCAAATAAAGTTGGGATCCAGTCAGCTATTGTCTTTTGTAGGTGTTGCAATGGATGGTTTGTCAGTTCAGGGAATATTGACACCATGTCTAGATGTACCTCAAGGCCACTAAACCTACCATTTGCCATGAACTTGTGTCCGCACTTTTGGTACCGTGCAGTTTTATCACTCGCATAAATAGTGGTCTCAAATGCAGTCGCCACTGGGTGCTCGCCGGTCAATGCTAACGAGAGAGACTTGTGTCCTGACAGCCAGCTTGTCCTCCGCTCGAATGGTTGGAGTTGTATTGATCGAGCTACTGTGATTCCCTCGTATCCTAAACCGTAGTAACATAGAAGTAAATGCCTCCTAGCCCGACTGCGCAGGGTGATCCAAGCGAAATCTAACGTGTCGTTGATAACTTGGGACTGTTGTATGTGCAAAACAAAGCACAGCAGTTAACTACAAGAAGTTGAATTCAGCACACTTACAAGCAGTCAGATGGCCATCACACGTCCGGCAAATGACTGGATAACCATCCCTTCTGTCATGAATCTTCGGCAGTGCAGATTTCACCTGGCATTTTTTGAAACTAAACTGTCTATCCTACTGTTGCTAGCCAGTGCAAAAACCATTGGGCAACTAGTGTGTTGACTATCTTTTGTCGCTACTATGTCGGCATATTTTGGGCAGCCGGTGGCTTCGTTGAATTACGGCCTTGTGCACGAGTTAGTGGGCGCTTGTGAGGCGCGGTTACTTGTGAAGAACTTACATATTACAACTTTATTCCCAATTTCGGGCGCCGTCGTACTGCACCGCTCCAAGTGCCTGATGAAGTTTTATACTCCGTGTGCGTGAACAACGCACAGAAAAATGGAATACTTGTGCGCCTCAGGTTCTGCCGGTCCGGCACCAGGCAACCTTATTGATTCTGTAACTGTGCCAACCCTGCGATTTTTTTTAAAAGGGCTTGGCCCAGATTCGGTCTTCCGAAAACCGGGTTGTGTGCAATCGATGGCACGTCATTGATTTGTTCCGGAGTTGTTCCAATGCATTGTGTTGGATACGCACCATCTCCATTCTGTCCGCCCACATACATGGTCTGGTACACAGGTTGCAGTGGGCACTGCGTTTCCCGCATCGAGGGTCTATGGGGTTCACTGGACCATTGCAACATCCAATGGAAACGCGCTTTGGTAGCAAAAGTGTCTCATACTGTCCGTGCAGTCGTATGCCGGGTTGGGCAGTTTTCGATATTTAAACGCTTGCAGTGTAAACTAGGATTCAACTGGATCAGCTGGTTCCAGGGAATACCACTTTTACTCAGAGTTGGCACAGATTCGAGGCAATTTACTACTTATGCACTGATTCTTACCGTTTCCACGGTGCACCGAGATGCTGACTAGCAAGTCAGTAACATTGATTTCAACGCGGTGCTTGGTACTCTACTTCCTATTGGGCAGTTTATTTGGCCATCAGTCAGGTGTCTCAGGTGAGCACTTATACGCATATGTGACTTGTTGATGTACGCATTTTTTGCACTGAAATGTAATAAAATCGGAGAATCATTTGCTCAAAGCAGGGGAATCACTGCGCACACTCTGTCTCCGTTAAGGATAGGCTAAACTACTAGCTGCTTTTTCGCTGTCATCATACGCACAGGTACTAAGTGTGCCATAACAATTTATAGCTATCTTGCTGCTTTTCCTGTGCACCTGTGCAATATTCAATGTAAAATTTAAGAATAACGACCAATTAATATTGGTTATAATTTCCATTCGGGAAACTCCACACAATAAACATTGTACCAGTGAAAATTTTGCTGGAACTTAATGGTGGCTGGTTGACGCACATTGTTGAACTGTCCGTGTCTACCTCAATTGGTAACCGTTTCGTGACTATTGACTTCCCCTTTTTATCAACCGAAGTCACTTTATGTTCATAAGTCTGTCCAGTTGTTACATGCAAATGGGTTGCGTCGAATTTTTCGTTCGTTTACTTTAGTGACTGAAATTTGCGCGCGAATCTCTCATCAGTTTAGGTCTCCACTGAGCTCACCTAAATTGTAGCCCACAGGACGATGGACTGAGGTAGGAATACTTCTTGACATCGGCGATGTTATGTGTACATTAGCTGGATTTGTAAAAGAACCATCATTTTTTTTCGTCAATGATACATACGCCTAACAAATATAAATCAGTTACTAGTATGGAGTAACATGTGCAGGCATGTAAAATGCAGTGCAGCTGGGTAAATTTAGTCTATTTGTTTTATGTACCCTTGATTATACACATGACGCTGCACTCTACCCTGTCTCTGTGATCAAGCGTAAACCTTTGGTTCATGGTAGAAAGCAAAGGCAGGATATGACGTAGAGTTTAGCAACATAGTTTACTTTCGTATCCACTTGGGATGATCTTCCTTTCCGCCCCATTTTTAGTATAAATTCTGTCCGGCATGTCGAAGTGCTGCCTTTCCAAGTGACTATCTGTTGCTGCCATTAGATTCATTGGCACATCGTTTACCAGCAATTTGATTGAAGTAATTAATGGCACGACATCAACCGCTAATCACGCGGGTAGCTATTCGCGTTTTAGATTCCATCAGTTAGCGACCTTAATACAGTGTCTACCGAAATTAAGAAATATTGACATCTTCTTTTGTATAGCTGAACCACTGAATCGTGCGAGACGTCAGGTGGACGATGCTTCCGAGGATATCTCTATAGGCGGCTCAGAAGATGAATCCCCTCCTGCTACTTTGCAGCCGGTATGTTTACAACCTTGTGTTTGACCCAATTCCTCTCAACCGTAAATTTGGCACCATCCAGGTTACGTAAATAAGCTGTTCAATGTATTCGGTGTGAAAGCGATCAATGGCAGATGGTATTCAAATGTGTTACATAAACGTAGGAAGAAATTTCCTCTGTCCTCCAGGTACATGATAGTCAGCGATATTCATGTGGGTTATTAGTCGTGCAGAGTCCGTGTGGCTTTCTTTTATTCTGGCTTCATGACTTTGAGTCTTTCGTTTCTAATACCTGCTTTTGTTTGTAGAAAGTAGAAGTCACGATTAAAATTCACGCACAATAATATGCCTCGACGGGGAATCGAACCCCGGTCCACGAATTTCCGGTCCGCTGCTCTACCACTGAGCTACCGAGGGCTGACGATTAGGTGCGCAAATTTTAACACATGACTTCTGCTTGGTGCGCGACGTATTGCCAATGGGCTCACAGTACCTGTCCTGGTGTTGCAGATTGGCTCACTCACCCGTCACTTCCCAATGGGCTGAAGTACCTGTCCTTCGAATGTCCAATGGGCGATAGTAGATTAATGTTGGATGTTTGTGAGTAGGGTAAAGTTTGTAGAAAGTAGAAGTCACGATTAAAATTCACGCACAATAATATGCCTCGACGGGGAATCGAACCCCGGTCCCCCGGAAATTCGTGGACCGGGGTTCGATTCCCTGTCGAGGCATATTATTGTGCGTGAATTTTAATCGTGACCTACTTTCTACAAACTTTACCCTACTCACAAAACATCCAACATTAACCTGCTTTTGTAACAGAATGACATTAATTGTTTGCCATAACTATTAAAGTGACGATGGTTGGCTTGGGCCCGCTCAACCATCAGGTAACGGTCCTTGCAATGCCATTCGACTTGGATCTAGCTGCACTCAGCTTACAATGGGGCTCAGGATCGTTTTGTCTCCAGTTGTTCCCATTCTCTTCAAGTGGATCTTCAGTTTCCAGCTCAAGTGGACTAATGTAGACCTTTTTCATCACCACCATCTGTGTAATAGGAACATTATCCACATCTGAACGTTTTCCTTTAGAGGCGCATAAGTAGTCTATCAGGTAGTAGGAACCCATTCATTGAAGAGGTCAAGCTAGTTCCATGCGTCATTATATTCATATCTTAATTCCAATTTTATACCTTCTTGAACAGAGCATCAAAGGACCAGGCCCATTTCTTCGTCCATTAATTATCTCCGGTCCTCGAGGTCCTGCGGGTGACCCTGGCCTCCCTGGTCCCCCTGGTCCACCCGGCCCCCCTGGCAAAACAGGTGAGCCCGGTCAAGCGGGATCGGCTGGCAGCGATGGAATACGTGGGCCTCCTGGACCTCCCGGAGACCCGGGAATGGATGGCAAGGCTGGACAAGACGGAGAACCTGGCCTATCAGGGACACAAGGACCCCCGGGACCCATCGGCTCGATCGGGATGATCGGAATAAACGGATTACCGGGTCCAGTTGGTGCTCCGGGCATGAAAGGGAGCAAGGGCTCACCCGGTCCAGGTGGTGCAGCGGTGAGCCGCACAGAATTACCAGTTCGATCACTGTTCAGCTGCAGTTTACCACATATGGACTCAAGGGATTTTGTCTCGTTTAGGTCTACCGACATGTTCCCACAGGTTAACTCCATCTTCCACCGCACAACACTTACCAGCACTTAATCATATGCGTATCGTACGAGCACCCTTCACTCTCTTCGAGCCGTCAGTGGCGAAGGAAAGTAACCGGTATGACTACGTTTGCAAACATAGCGTTTCCGTTCCGATCACACACAGTCTAGTTTTATGTGGCCTCACAGCCATTTGGATAAGGTCATAGTTGACATACAAAAACGCACTTGTAATCTACCCAAGATCCCTTAGTTGTGCCAGCATTTTTATCGGAGAGTATGGAATAACTATATGCAAACTTCATAACGGGTGCATTAACGACCTACACATGTGGTTTAAAATTGGGAAGTAATTCCTGACAAACGTGCTAAAAATCTCGGGTTTCCCAGTTGAGTCTTTTCACTCAGTCTGTAATTTTCCAAATTTACTTCTCTACAACAAATAAGTGCACAGTAGTAGCGACGGTGAAAATGTGCTTTATCTTTAAATGCAATGTGTTAATTCGTTGCGGACTGCATATCCCACCGAAGGGAGCAGAAGTCTGTGAGGATAAAATTGGCTGAAGGTGCTTCTTTATTCAACTAAAGTGATTGCATGCATTAAAATCTGTGCTTTTATGCTGTTTTTAGGGTGACCGTGGAGAGGTGGGCCTACCCGGCCCAGTGGGACCACCTGGACCTAAAGGTCCTTTAGGATTACCAGGAGTGCAAGGTCCAGTAGGTTCAGTTGGATTTCAAGGACTTGACGGGCCGGCTGGTCCGACCGGTCCCACTGGTTCTCAAGGTCCTCCAGGACCACAAGGAATGACTGGTTCGGTTGGCGTAAAAGGTGATGATGGTCCACCTGGAGCCCCAGGATCAGTTGGAGATCCGGGAGAACCCGGTCCAGATGGAAACATTGGCCAATCAGGGGAACGTGGTCCACCCGTAAGTGTGTTACCGTGTGGTACTTTTGCCATCCCCTAAACTTTCAATGCGAAATCCATCTAGTCACTAGCAATAACGATTGCATCGTTTTTTTCCGTCTACTGCATCCTATGTGGCCTATGTCGCCTTGTCACTCCATGTCGCCGCACACTCATTCCGTGAACAACTAAAGCGCTATCTATTGTTTTCCTGTCCAAAATCTATTCCTCTGGTTTATACTCCACCCAGGATTGACCTAGACAGATGCCATTTTTCAACTTTAGTTTCTAAGTATATTGTCAAGCTTTTCTGTGTTCTTCTGTCTGTCAGCTTTACTGCATGGTGTCGATGTCCTTATGTAAAATAATGTGGTGCACAATTTTCTAGGGTTTGGCGGGTAAAAATGGGTTACCAGGTCCAAAAGGAGAACGAGGAGCCACTGGACCTATGGGTGCTCGAGGAGCTGCCGGAATGCGTGGTCCACCGGGGGGCGCAGGCTCCCAAGGGCCGCTTGGTGCTAAGGGATCCCAGGGGATACCTGGCCCTCAAGGCCCAACTGGACCACCAGGACTAATGGGTCCACCCGGTGAAATTGGTGATATTGGACCTCCTGGACTAATAGGAGATGACGGGAAACAGGGTCCGAGAGGTCCCATGGGTGAAAGAGGACCAAAGGGCGATACTGGGATGACTGGCGCACCCGGCATCCCCGGAAATCCCGGTCTAGACGGATTACCCGGAAAACCTGGAGAACAAGGAAAGGACGGGGAGGTTGGTCGACCAGGTCTGCGTGGTCCTGCTGGACTACCTGGAATGGCAGGAAAAGACGGCGAACCAGGACCGCAAGGCTACGTAGGTGCGAAAGGCCAAGATGGGGCTCCAGGTCTACCAGGCGATGCTGGACCAAAGGGGCAGGCAGGAAAACCCGGCGATGACGGAGAAACGGGAGCTGCTGGTTCGCAAGGACCCACTGGACCACCTGGACCATCTGGCCCACCTGTAAGTGGTGTGACTATAATCCAGTTGCTATTAATATATTACCCCACCATGAATGATTCTTATGCTACAAACCTGCAACTGAAAGATTCCAATCTTTCTATCTAAGCATTCTTGTAAATTACAGACTGCGAATGTTAGATGGTCTGCTTGAGTTTCACAGCCTTGACGATCGATAATTGTTAACGTTTTTGGGAGTATCAACTACTCCGCTTTTGCTGCTACTATCAGGTGCATGCACGACTCGTAGAGGTTCGAATTGGATTTAAACCAGTTCGACGCTCCAAAAACTGATAGACTCAAACCCACTTGATGCATTGACAATGTATGTTTCCCACTTAGCGTTATTTCGCTTGTTTTCCACTTTGGTGACAATATTGAGATCAGTGGCAATAACCTCGGCAAAACGGAGGAGCCGGGAATCGACATGGCAAAGCAGGATCCTAAACGCCTTGGTGACCACAATTCCGTGACTCGAGGTCAATAAATGTCTGCTGATCCAAGATGCTGACGGTCTGTGCACACACGTAGTCTGATTTGGGCTTGCTTGCTCAATATTCCCACACTGAACCCATTTTTGCACATATTCCTTTATTCGGAAACTCATTGTTCTATCGGTTCTGCTTATGCAACTATCTCCGCAGTTACATACGAATTGATTTACGTAGTGGGACTTGGCCTCAATAGGTTGAGTTTCCTTTAGTGCAGGCAACGGTAGCTTATGAGTTCGGTCAATGGTTACAACTTCAGCAGCCCAGAAAGTACTCTATGTGCTGGAAATCAGACGCCTTGTAGTCCTCAAAGCAACAATATCACCCTTAAAGGGTAGCTCTATGAATACCATTTGCTTAGGTACAGTGGGCACAACAACTTTCATTTCATGGATTTGGCTGCGCTCCCGGATAAATTTTCGAGGGTAGTCATTAGTAATTAGCTTGTTGGTAATTAGTTTTAGTTCATCGGCTTGACACTCGGTCGAACATATTCGTTTGGCGCGACTAAATAGGGTCTTCACAAGCGTTCGCTTGTCAGTCTGCTGTCGGATTATATACACCCAATTTTGTGAAGCCAAAATCGATCGTACCAAAATGAAGTAACTAGCACGGCTCGAAAAATCATTGATGAAGAACCAATATGAGGAGTCATGTGCTCGTGACCCCAGTAAGTATGTGGTGAATCTGTGAAAAACGAACCCTGATGCACTACAGTTAGAAGCATTGTTTTTCGGACTAGGTTACAGAATGCCTCATAGACGATTGATAGGATTTAAAACAGTTAATTCTCTTCAGAAATTTTAAAAGCATGGATTGTTTATTGAGGCTCAGTTTGAGAACGTTTTTGGTCGGTTGTAGGACCTTCAACCAACTAGTACCGATAAGCTTATATGGTTTGGAAATAAACTGACCGATATTTCCTATGAAGTTAGAGATGCGCCAGTAAAAGAAACGCGCGTGTTTCCGAACAGACACCTAAGAGTGTTACACGAATTGCGCGATCAGAATGTCGTTGTACTGAAGCCGGATAAGGGTTCAGGAGTTGTAGTCATGAACAAAAATGAATACATCGAGAAGATGGACGTTATACTCAATGAGACTAATAAATTTAAACGACTGGAAAAGGCGGGGAATGTGACTGATTTTGAATCCCGCATTATTCGCCACTTAAAAATGCTTCCTCAATATCAGGTGATCGACAGCTACTTAAAACAGTGCAAATCCGAGTGGGTCAACTGCGCCACAGCTATATGGGCTTCCAAAAAAGCACAAGAGCGGAGTGCCGCCCAGACCGATCCTTTCGGATGAAGAACGCACCCCAAGATAAATTAGCTCGCTGTTTGGTTAATGTGCTTTCTCCGCTAAAAGCTCAGTTTAATCTATATGGCCTCAAAGATTCCTTCGGGTTTGTCGAAGATGTCGATACAATGAACTTGTCCTATAATGTGATGTGTTCTTCAGATGTGGAATCCTTGTTTACTAGCGTTCCGCTACACCAGACCGTTTACATCTGCGAAGTAGAAGAAAGTTCCGGATGTTTGTTGCCGATTCCGGTTGAATTCATAAGAGAATCATTACTTCTACGCACAGAGGATGTCAATTTTTACTTCGGAAACTTACCGTATCACCAAATGGATGGGATAGCCATGAGCAGTCCACTTGGTCCCATGCTTGTGCATTTTTTCATGCCGATGATAGAACGAAGCCTTTCCGAAGAAATAGCGCAGCTACCCTATTAAAAACGTTACGTGGAGGATAACTTGGTGTTCTGCACGACAGAAATGCAGATCACACAGCTAGTGACGCGTTTTAACTCCTCGCATGTCCATTTGAGGGTTTCAGGCGAAGTCGAACAACAGTACTGTCTTCTATAGTTATATGTTCTCATCAGCCGAGGGGAGAACGGACTGGTAAATAAGTCTGTCTATCGAAAAACAACGTGGTCAGGACAGTATACGCATTTTAGAAGCTTTACGCTGATGCGACACAAGCGAGCGCTTGTGAAGACCCTATTTAGTCGCGCCAAACGAATATGTTCGACCGAGTGTCAAGCCGATGAATTAAAACTAATTACCAACAGGCTAATTACTAATGACTACCCTCGAAAATTTATCCGGGAGCGCAGCCAAATCCATGAAATAAAAGTTGTTGTACCTACTGTACCTAAGCAAATGGTATTCTTAGAGCTGCTCTTTAAGGGGATATTGCTGCTCTGAAGACTACAAGACGTCTGATTTCCGCCACACAGGGCACTTTCTGGGCTGCTGAAGTTGTAACCATTGACCGAACTCATAAGCTACCGTTGCCTGCACTAAAGGAAACTCAACCTATTGGGGCCAAGTCCCACTACGTAAATCAATTCGTATGTAACTGCGGAGATAGTTACATAAGCAGAACCGATAAAACAATGAGTTTCCGAATAAAGGAATATGTGCAAAAATGGGTTCAGTGTGGGAATATTGAGCAAGCAAGCCCAAATCAGACTACGTGTGTGCGCATGTCGCCGGCATCTTCGATCAGCAGACACTTATTGATGAGATAGTCCCCATAGATGTGATTTACTTAGATTTTTCTAGAGCCCTCGACAGGGTCCATCACTTCTTTCTCCTCCAAAAGCTTGCGGCCTAGGGTATCAACGGTTTCCTGATCACCTGATTGGAAGACTGCTTACGCGACAGAGCAGTCAAGGTAATAGTAGCCGACACTCCCTGTGCATGCCTGTGTGTCTCCAGTGGTGTACCGGAAGGATCCGTCCTCGGCCCGCTACTCTTTTTAGTCCACATTAATGACCTTGCAACAGACATTCTATTCCCGATGCAAATATTTTCGGACGATGCTAAAATATGGAGTGCAATTCGCTCAGCATCCGACTATGTCTACCTCCAGGAAGATATGACTTGGATTAACGAATGAGCAGAAAGGAACCAGCTCCCACTGAACCCTGCAAAGTGCCACCTGCCACCTGCGCATCAGCTTCGTCAACACGTCCTACAACATGTGACTAGTGAACGCGACAGGTATAATGGTGCAACAGAGTCTTGGAAATTTGCTCCAATGTTCGAAAGCAGCAAGTGTTGCGAACTTGAACTTGAGACTTTTGAAGCTAGCTCTCGACCCCTTTGAGCGACGGCTAGTACCATTGTTGATTAACTCCTACATTCGTCCTCATGTTGAATATGCAATTCAAGCCTGGTGTCTATGGTTAAAACAAGACATTCGCCTATTGGAATAGCCCCAAAGAAGAGCCACAAAGGCAACGCGTGGACTATCCGGTCTAAGTTACGAATTGCGTCTTCGTGTACTCGGTGTGTTTTTATTAGAATACCGACGGATTCGCGGAGATCTTACTCTCACATACCAGGTACTAACTGAATGCGAGCATCCATGTACATCACTGTTGACCCTAACTCCTTACAAACGAAGCCGATGCAACCACCTGAAAATAATGATGCAACATTCCCCTTTGGATTGTAGGAAGTATTTTTTCTCACTTAGAATCTGTTCTCGCTGGAATGCATTACCGTCATATGTGGTGAACGCACCAGATATGACGACATTCGAAAGACTCTTAGACTTTCACCTTAGTGATAAACGTTACACAACAGGTTGATAAAGTGCAATGCTTTAACCAGATAATTCACGTTCTACGTTGGAACATTTTGATTTTATTTTTCTTTTGTTTATCCATCGTGTGGATCTTGTAAAGTTATGCTTTTTATCCCATCATACACTATTGAACCATTGGACATGGGGTCACCGAATTGAGGTCAACAAGACGTTTAGGATCCTGCTTCGCCATACCAATTCCCGGCTCCTCCGGTTTGCCAAGGTTATTGCCATTAATCGGATTAAGCCTGTGCTTTGTGGGAAACAATAATTATCCGTCAGCCTCAGGCGGCCCTGGGCTGTAGAAGAAAGACACTCGCATGTTCTCTCGTTTTTTGTATGTATGTCTGTACCCACAAACTGTTGTACAAAATTACCGGTTATCATTATCAGCAACGATGAGATGATACGAAATACATGCATCTGCCAAATTTTGTATTCTAAGTGTGCTTTTAAAATTATTAAGGGGAACTAACGGTTTTAAAAATGGAGATCACTTGGTGTGTTGTTTTACCCATACGCCCAATCCTACTATATCTTCATAGTACGTAATAAGCCATGTTAGGGACTAATTACTTTCTTTTCTTTTGTTATCCTTTAAGCTTAGCTCACATTGAGGACATTATGTTCATGACCAATGTCTAAAATGCAAGCAAAATTGTTTTTGAATAATGCCGTAAGAAGACGAACACTGGCAGATGTCAACATTTCGTATTGTCTCTTCAGTGCCAACACAATAACATGAAAATATATAAGACGTCTTCTTACGGCATTATTCAAATTATTAAATGGATCTAATTGTTTCAAAATTGTTTTTTTCATATAACTTAAAGGGTCCTCGAGGTGAGAGAGGCCCCACTGGTGACGTTGGAGACACTGGGCCCCCAGGTGAACAAGGAAGCCGTGGAACACCCGGACCAAGAGGACGCCGTGGAAAGATTGGGTCCCCAGGTCCTCCTGGTGACCCCGGAACCCAAGGTGACCGGGGTCCCGCAGGTCCCATGGGTGTAACTGGACAGCCTGGAGCTGTTGGATCGTCTGGCCCTCCAGGAGGAAAGGGACCAACCGGGCGCGATGGGAAACTTGGTGTTGATGGTAAGACCGGCGCTCGTGGACACGTCGGACCTCACGGAGCAGTTGGAGCACGCGGTCCCCTTGGTCCGGAAGGAGAAGTTGGGTATCAAGGACTAGCTGGTTCAAAGGGTGAGCCTGGTGTTCAGGGACCCCCCGGTCGTATTGGTCCTGCTGTAAGTGAACATTTCGTGATTGAACTCCGTATTGGTCATATTCTGACGGGCTTATATGAATGGATCGGATACGTCTTATGTTCTTATTCAACCCGAAAGGGAAACAGCCCCGTAGCCAATATTGTTTGGATAATGGAACTGTTTCCGTTTGACTGAATGTGCATATCATTGTGAGTCTTATGACACTAAGCCACTGCGAACTTTGGAGGTACCATACTCGGTTCTAATCTATGTTTCCAACTCCACTACCATACATTTGAAGGCGTCATATTACAGTTTAGAAGAACTCTCTTGTTCTGATCACTAGCCAGATTCGCAGCGTTCAGCCCTTTACTCTTGTCTTGTCGGGTCACTTTGTCGGTAACCAGTGCGCGCACCTCCATGCACTCCAAAACCATTTAAAGTTCCCTGTGGGGTTGTTATACTGCCCCTCATTAGATTGGCAGGAAATGTGACGATTGCGCGCATAAGTCACGGATGATCGCAAAGTTCGAGTGTTTAGATTTGAAAACAGTAACGTAATAAGTCAACTCTCAGGATACGAATGTAGGCTGTTGAAATTCATCTTCTTGATCTCAAGATAGATAAGTCAAGGGTAGACAGATGGTTAGAACAGCGTAACTTAAGTGCAGACAGACACGACGACTATTAAACTTAATCTATGTTTCCTGATCCTGTCAGCACTTTGCGAGTGGAGCACTTTGCAGCGGATGACACCAGATTTTACTCTCTATTTTCGTATTTAGGGTACCCCAGGTGTCCGTGGTACCATCGGACAAATGGGACTGCGCGGTGTTAAAGGACCGCGTGGACCACCTGGAGAAGACGGGGCCCCCGGTGCAGGAGGAGACCCGGGTAGAGTTGGACCTCCCGGGGAACCAGGACCACGTGGACCACATACAGTACAAGGAATAGCGGCACTACACAGGGCCGGACCTAGAGGTGAAAAGGGACAGCCGGGTTACCCCGGACCACATGGCAGACCAGGCTTACCAGGTGGGTTGACGATCAGCAACTCTTGCAGTACCGTCACAATGAACGCCGGTTTGACTATCATATTAAAAACACGCTCAAGCCTTTGAATAAATTTCTTACTGCTCACTGTATTCTTTCAACAGACCACTGATCATATTTAGTCAGTATAAGGCACCAAATTTCCGCAATTTTTTAGAGATAATGTTAACACATGGATTTCTCTTGCTTTTTTCTTGCATCAGGCCCATCGGGAGATCCAGGTGCTATCGGCGACATGGGCGCTCCTGGAGACGATGGCCCCACCGGACTCGCGGGACCTCGAGGGAGAGATGGGAAAGATGGTCGCCCCGGTCGCCCCGGTAAGGCTGGTGCGCCAGGACAACGGGGTGCCACAGGACCGCAGGGTGTCTCCGGTCCACCTGGAGAACCAGGAAATCCCGGTCCACCTGGGCCTTCTGGTGTTCCTGGAGCCCCTGGTGAACCTGGTTTACCTGGGCTGGAAGGTATTAATGGTACGGTTGGAGCTCGTGGGGCGGTGGGCCAGCCTGGAGCTCCAGGACCCCGCGGCCCAGCTGGTTTACCGGGCGTTGACGGAATCAAAGGACCACCCGGAGACGACGGACCAGCGGGACTCCGAGGGCAAGTTGGACCGCGAGGTGCACCGGGAATGGACGGCACCCCTGGTTCGCAGGTACGTAAATGGTTTAAACACAATTGCACCCGAACTTGATCCTTTAAGTGTGCTACTGAAGTGCCGTATACTGGCACTAGCCATCCACTATAGTGCTACCAACTACTTATCCTTCATGCCAAAAGGTGATTCACATCTTCTACTTCCAGAGCACTAAATACTGCGCTGAACTGGACTAAATTTAACTAGTGTTATCAAATTCCCACCTTTCCGGTTAAGGTTGACTCGCGCATCATCAGCTGGGTAACGCTGTTACCCCTTTACGACCCTTAACCTTAAGTATCACAAGCCTGCCTTGTAATCCGAGGGAACGGGCTTGAGCCTGCGTGGGGACCGAGCGACGTTCGCAGTATTCTTAGCTCTCGATAGCGAAGTGTCTGTGTTGCGTACCTGCGTACTGATGATACCTTTACCAGTAATACATATAATGCAAAAATATACTGTATTAGGTATCCTTCTCCGGTTTGTGATACAGTTGAGAGATGTTAGTGTGTGAAGTCATCATTTGGGTTCCTGTACGAACCCACCACATGTGAGTCAGACACGAACAACTTTTGTCATCATATTGGCAATTTCCTCAACTGATACGCGAATAATACTCGGAAATTACACTGGAAGTAAGCTTTTTTATTCAGAGATCTAATCCGTTTCTACTGTGGTCTTGCATATGCTTCCATCACATCACGAAATTTTAATATGCTACAGGGCAAAATCGGCGTACCAGGCCGCCCCGGTCCTATCGGACCCCCCGGAATGATGGGTGTTCCAGGACCACAAGGCAAACCCGGTTCTATCGGTAAAGAAGGACCTCCGGGAATGGCTGGGCCTCCTGGATCCCCTGGTCCTGCAGGACCCGACGGAGATATTGGTGGCCCTGGTCCCACTGGGGATAGTGGCCTGCAAGGTGCACAGGGCAACCGTGGAGAGCGTGGCCCCCAGGGCTCACCAGGACCAGCGGGCGATAATGGACCAACCGGCCCCAGCGGTCCACCCGGGCCTGTCGGACCAGATGGACCTAGTGGACCACGTGGAGAAGCAGGAGTCCCTGGCATAGATGGTCCTCCCGGGGAGAAAGGAGACGACGGACCTGTTGGATATCCCGGCCGTCCTGGTGCGGATGGGATACCCGGTAGACAAGGCAAACCTGGGCCTGCAGGACATAAAGGGTGGACCGGTCCCCCGGGAGATCCTGGACTACCCGGAAACCCAGGTCAACCCGGACAACCAGGACTACGTGGATACCCAGGTCCATCAGGACTACCAGGTGAAACCGGCCCTGCCGGAATTCCAGGACTGGCAGGTGAAGCTGGATTTATAGGAGAACCTGGGCCCATCGGCTTACCAGGCCCCGTGGGCAGAGACGGACCGCCAGGACCTCCCGGACCTGTTGGAAACGAAGGCCCACCAGGACCTCCTGGTCCACCAGCGATGGGATACGTCAAAATGATGGGAGATAGCGCCAATCTTCACATACATATGCCCAATGGAACCAAACGGTATCCGGCTCGATCATGCAGACACTTGGCACAAGTGCATCCCGACTTCCTAGATGGTAAGTGCGCGAGAGACGCGTTTTTCTAATTTGCCAATCGTGTCACGCTCATCTTCAACACTGAATTGCTACTCATGTTCCGGCATGATGCCCCAATTCACGATGAAGCATGACAAAAGGCTTAAATTTATACACAAGGCATTAAACGCAGCGTAATTTTAGGGCGCACCCCAGTGGGTCGGCACTGGTTGGTCACGTTCATAGATGCACTTAGAAGCAACTTTTAACATTAGAAAGGTCGCTCCGCCGTTATACCTAGAACGCCCGAGACCGGTCAAAATGACCGCATTACTGTATTTCTTTATCCTACCTTTTATTTATAACTTTTTCCAATATACTTATTAAAAGCAATGCGTGGTACATATCTGTAAAACAAAAATAGTTGTATTGGGTTTCAATTTTTTCAAAGCTTGAAAATAATTATACTTGCTTGTTCAGATTTGCATTTGAAACAGGTGGTAACTCTCAACCTGTCCACAAGAGCCATAAACTATTTTTTCACATACAGAGAACTTGTCCTTGTTGTCTGAACAGTAACCAATCTGACAGTGCCGATGTTTACTTGTCTCACGCTTTCCAACTGCGTTGAGTTGTCTGGCGTAAGCCCAGTTGTCACGTACCTTGTATGATGTATGAATCCACGCAGTTCTTCCGCAAGAGCCCTTAGATGCGACCGGCGGGATAATTTATTTTCGGAGACACTATTATAAAATATCCAGGAATTAATACCAGCGAAATGCAGCGCGTTAGAGAATAATTGGACTGGCCACCATCGAGATGCTGACTTGACAGTGAGTGCTCTTGTCGAGTACATCTATCCCATTCTTCGTGGAGTTGTAAGACAATACATTCTCGGGCTTCTTCTTTTCAGAGTCTTAAATGGATGGGTTCCTGTACAAGGAACTGAAAACCAAAACGCGTTTATTCCTTTTACAGTGGTAGGGTGTTAATGCGTGCTTATTTTTAGTCTCCCTTTCGGTCCACCATGTACCATCTTTCGATATGTGAACTTCACAAGAAGATGCAGACTCGGCTGATACACCCACATTGCTGTCTTCATGAGGAGTGTTACTGTCAGAACTTTGACTATCATGGATGCTGTGATCTTCTACATACTCCTGGAAAATGAAGTCTTCTTCTCCAAGTCCAAGTTTGAAGGCTGCAAGAACTTCACATTCATTCTCGACTCCAAACTGGTTATAATCGGTAGTTATAAGTTCTCGTAAAATCTCGGAAGCTGTTCTCTTTCGACGATTCATTGTGTATCAATGGCACTGAAATTTGTCAGACCGAACGCACAATATCACTAGGAAATCGTGAATCGTCTAGTTTCCACTCCTGTTTTGACTGATATTGCATGTAAGTTTATAAGAAATAACAGTGGTGGCACAAAATGCAAAATGAAATCGGCTTAGAGGAAATCGGTCATTTTGACCGCTAACGGATTTTCTCGATAGTACGAACACAACTACTTCTTTTCTCGAAAACCATGACAGATATGAAAGTGGAACTTCAGTTCTGAAGGATGTATAAAAATATTAAAGTCATTAAATATCATTGAACAATGTTTGCAAATGTAGAAACTATGCACGTTTAACAACCTTGAGCGGTCAGTATGATCGCTCCAGACGTTCTAATGTTAAAGATGCATTTCTCCCTCATCTCATCCTTCTTGTTACAGTCCAATAATGGAGGACCTTGAGCCGAATCGGCTAGCAGCGCTGCTACAATTTACTTTTTTTATTATCATTCATAGACTTTTCGGGCAAACTTTCCGCTTAACACTTTAGTACATTAATGAACGGTGATAACTAAGGTATCAACATTTTAAATGGTATTGGTAGGTTAGTGCAAGGGCTGTTCAGGTAAGTGAAGGTATTTATTTCCAGCGAAACTGGATACCGTTTTGTCAGCGGATTCAAGAATGTTTGGCCAGCTACTTGCATCATACACTATGTGCTCACTGCTCAATGCATTTTGCAGCCCAACTACTTGTGGTGGGGACTTTTGCTTTCTTGTGATCAGTCACCGCTTGCAGCCAGAGAAGCACTAAAGGTGTAACCAGAACTCACCATTTACCTGACGAGGACGCGTTTTACGCATTTGAACTCACAAGTCTGATAAAACAACTTTCAGCAGAATGCTAGTGCCACTATGGAATTAACCGATTCCGTTGAGGTGACACATGATTTGTCAGTCAATATGGTTCAACGTAGCACTTACAACGCACTCCAAACACACTGAGTAGGCAATAACGCATGTTGCAGCATTCATCTGCCATAATGGCAGCAAAAGTTAGTCAGAGCGTCCGTAAGCATCCGTAAGCTATCCATCACTTGAGCCACTGTGTTCAAGATACGAGAGCATGAGATTCACTCCTCATACTGCATTGATCCCCTACGACCTGTTGTAGCAATCAAGTGACGGTTATCACGAGCAAACAAGGTTTTACTGCAGTCTGGAAGAGTATCAGCCTCCCTCCGCGGCATACTTTTACAGAGTAACTAGGAAATTAAACGGTTGGCGGAAATTTCAGCAGCTGAGCAATTGAGAAGCAGTCTAGGTACGACAAAGAACGGGTGTTGGGGCTTATCACTGGTGGGTAACTATATACCTGATTCAGGTCACTGGATATATGACATCAGTATCATGTCTCCACAAAGTCATTGATATTGCCTAATTGACACTCTTATTACTGTCGGCCTTTGCCGCTATAGGCTCTGACACTGCGTTTCCATTTTTTCTCCATCGATGTGCTGGGGTTCTTCAGTTCATCAGAATCAAGATTCGGGTCTCGTATTCAACATAACAGCGCAAGTAGGCATTAGGCAACGTAGGAAGGTGGACTAGTTCAGCACTTCGGTAACCTATGCAGAATATTTACCTGTTGGTTATCTATTTTTGAGGTCATCTCATACTGCCTAAAGCACTGAGATCATCCTGTATAAGGTCGTGTTCCAATGTTCTCCAAGCACCAGGTCAATTTAGCTTAACAACGGTGTGGTGGATTTAATTGCCTTGACACGGCGACAAACAAATGCTAATAATGTTTTACTGTCTCGTCCCAGCTGCTCACTAGCCAGATTAGTCTAACCCCAACCTGTGAAACCACTGGACCAACGTTTCGCCCTATTGGGGCTCGTCAGTATTCCGCCTTCCCTCAGTCCCCTGCTGGGATCGAACCCATGGCGGCTAGCAGCTCGCGTCAACTAGCCAGCAGCTTATGCCACCGAGTCATGGGGGGCGAAAGCATGCCGTCTGAACTGCAAGTTAACTGAGGTAGACCGCAACCTATCCTCCACTGCCATGAATGTTCCCATCATTGCAGAGGACAGTAGCTAACCTCCGAGATTATGACCACAACACAGTAGCAATGTCCGCATGGCATGTGGGCAAATGTTTTTAGACTACTGGTGAGTAGGAGGATGTTTGATGAAATTTTACTGGTTTCCAGCTAATAATGCCAACAATTCAAGTTGAATAGGAAAGCGATGAAATTGTCACATGGGTTACCTGAGCTTGAATGGATTAGACTAATATCTGACAGCCACTGATTTTGCAGCCGCACCATCTGCGATAATGCGTCCAATCGCTGAAGTGAGTGATCCCAAGGCTTCAGTCAGGAATAAAATGAGCACCGATCCAACTCAGCTTTCGGGGAGTTTCTTCATGCTCTTATCCGTGTTAACGTCTGGTCACCCTGGGATTTCATCCAACCAGTGGCATTAGTAGTAAACAACACAGGATTAGGTAGTCGGATTGCAGGTGTACGGGATACATTACCGAACCCAAGAAAGCCATTAGGGGGCACTCCATTACACCATCGAGGGGCCTGTTGTCAAACCATGTGACGAACAACCCATTTCTGAAGTTAGTTGAGGTAAAGAAGTGTCGAAATATATGTCTCGTAACTGAGCCACACTGCGCTTGTTCACATTGGATGGCACCTCATGCTGAACTAATCAATAGACGATGTCATCAACGTGATACTGAAAGACTTCGTGGTGGTTTGATCGATTGCTTGCTCATCATCTCTTGACCTCGTTAGCGAAGAACAGAGAATCTGAAATATTCATCGCTAGACCGCCTATTCAAACCATCTATGTGAACCTAGTGGCACACTACAAACTAATTAACTGAGGTTGGACAAGGATCACTTGTTGGCCTCTAAATAACGTTCACTGAAAGTTACCAATCCATCCCTAGTTGGAAGACCTTCAATGCCTTCATTCTGGATCCAGCCGATTAAGCGCCAGGTATAATCCACTTAGTTGACTTGGAGCCTTACCACTACTTCTACTACTACTACTACTACTACTACTACTACTACTACTTCTACTACTACTACTTCTGTGCAACCAAAACGTGCAGGCAGCAGGTTCGTGATATGCCAACAACGTTGGCACAAAAGTGCACTGATCCGAGAAGTACTAGGCTGCCGTTTCAACCTGTTGAGCATCATTAGTAGTGCGCATCCATCGGATCCAGTAGAATTCGAACCCACTGCCATCAGCGACTTATACCGTTTATGCCACTGGGCCACGGGGGACAGATTCGGTCTGCCATGATTTATAAGCTAACTGCGATGTAGCACATCTTATCTTCCATCACCATGCAAGTTACGAACGTTTGCCGAGGACGGGGTTGGCCCAAGAAGACACGATATCCACTGATTGTACTTATGTACGACATAGCATATAGCAACTGTTAGAGCGGATTCGGAAGCTGATGTGATGAGCTCTCAAGTAATTGCCTCGTAAAGCCCTTACTCATGAGTAACTTCGTGATGGAGCGTGGTAGTGAAGTTCAAGCTAAGGTTAAGATTTTGCCGGCTGTTGATGAATCAGGGGCTATTCATATTTTTGGTGGGATATTGGTCCTTTGACTTGAGTCGGTTGATATGGCCCCTTAGAGCTTACCACATCTTATCATGCATTTCTACTGTTGTCGCTTCGGTCTCGCAGCCGGGTTATGCGACAGGAAATTATGCTGGGTTTTGCATCGCCACGCATGTTACTGGCCAATTGGCACCCTGTCTCTACTGATCTAAGTCAAAGTTCGGTTGGACGCCTGTTTCGAATATGTAACTAGTCTTCTGCCAGAACCGATACCAATGGCTTCAGTAGTAAAGCTACTCTCATCAGTCTAGGATCGCAGCCCTTCTAGTTAAGTGAGACAGGAATTCTCGTCAATGATTTAACGATGGCGTTGTCGAGCGAGACGGATTCGTGGATGTGGTACCATGGAGCCATGCCACACATCTGCACTTCGCATTCAAAAGAAGATTGGAGCTCGGAAACTACGTAACCAATCATGGTCCACTTGTGTTATCTCCCAGATACAACTTATTTGTCCCGTTTCCTGTGGTGTGCACTCCAGCTAAGGAATTAAGATGGTTAGTCACCGACATCAAGTTTTCCATCTTCATTTACAAAAAGCAGTAGTACCCGAAGAAGGGGTGATTTGCATAGTACACTGAATTTGTGTGACACGTGGTGGCCTCAGATCGAGTGTGCATCATGTTACCAACAGAAATGCACTGGTAATTATCGTACAGTAGCTTGCTCTTTGCTGCATTGGTCTGTGCTTAATAAACATTAGTCCACACAATTGGTAAACCACCGCCATTCCACCGGATGATTATTGGTTTGTGATTGCTCGATTAGTGCTTCTGATGGTTTATTGGGTGGCACATGTGATAACCAGACAGCCCAAGTCACGCTATTCGTGTCCGTACAACAAGCGAAGCGGCCGGTATTCTTTCCTCCGTTATCATTGTGCGCTCGACACGGATACTTCCCTTTCTCTAGTGAAACGATTCTGGATCTTAGTTACCGGTATCGCGATTGCAGGATTTGGTGTTATCCCCCAGTAGTGGCTTGAGTATGGGTATTTGGAAATCCTGATGATACACGGTTAAAGCGTCTGGCCTACTTCAACTTAAAGATGGAGCTTGGAAGAGCTCCCAATAATGCAAGTTTGGTAGCCGCCACTCGAAAATTTACTTTCTTTGGTTCATCTGACTTCTTCGTTAGCACGACGGTAGTTGACAAGTAGGACGGTGGTCCATTGATTAACCTATTGGAGGAGAAATTTAAGTCCTGATGGTGTTTTACCCGTTACCTAAACCACATACGCAACAACTGTCAGTGGAACTGACGGCTTGGTGTGGCCCATAAGTGAGAGATTGTCCTGCTGTCCTGAATATAGTACCAACTTATACCTTACCCACCGACAGTGGGTTGATAACATGGTGCATCATAAATGCCGGTTGGTGAGGATACCTCAGGTCCTTGCTGTTTAGTCTACAGACACTACAAATACTATCATCGATGACTCGATTACCACTAGGGAAACCGAGGGGTTTGCTTTGGATGCAAAGCCTTGTCACCCTCTAAGACGAACTCACTTCATCTGAGAGAACTATAGTATTATTAAGGAATTATTTTGGGCATCCACATGTACCGCGAATTTATGTGCTACCTTCAGTATACTGATTTCTTCGGGCCGTATTCTGTATATGCAATACACCAACGAAGGGGTGATATGGTGCATAAGTTAAGAACTAAACCCAGCAATATGTTTACGTGAGCTGGGCTCAAGATTTCTGAGAGAAGCGCACGAATTGGTGCGCTTCAGCTAACAAATGTTACTTGCTGCCTGCATGAATATTAATGTTACGATTGCGTAGATGCCTGATAAGATTGTCACTGGCACGGTTGGAGCACGCCTACGGTAAGGGCCTGGAACACTGACCAATCGAACGGATTTGCGCTGACCTGATGGCGTTAGCTTAGCCCGGGGTACGCGCTGGTGAAACAGAAATTGTGCGATCATGAGAACGATCCTATCCGCACGTATTCGTGTAGACGCTGAGTGCACTAGTGACTTAGACGCGAACGCTGCCCGGCTATCAACGCACACAAAATCACGTGACCCGGCCGACTCCCAAGTAAGGCGAAGAGGAAGCAAGACAGGCGGTCCTCTGAAGGTTCTTCTACGACCAACAAAGGACGAATCACAGCCAATGCAATGGGTCATTAAGTTAGGGAAAATTGCTACCACGACGAGGTGGTAGTTTGTAAAAGCACGTTATCAACAGATGTGCATTTGGGCCGCGTCTCGGAGTGGCTGAACACTGCTACGTTGTCGGGGGGAATTGGACCTCGCTTTCCACAGCCATTATGCCGGAGTTTCTGGCGCGCTTTTGCGGGGATATTTGACGGGCCCGCAACAATTAATGTTCAAAATGCACCCCTAGCACTGGCGCCTACATATACCGAGAATTATAACGCATCATTTAGACAAATCAAGACTGTTTGTCTAAACTAACCCCAGTCAAACAACCGCCGACATCCTCTAGATTCTAGCGAGATCCCGATAAACTGGCACCTTAAAAAGCAGTGACCCAGACATCCAATCCGTGGGTGACAGTGTCGATAGCTATGGTTGCATGAGCGGTTGCGACACATCACAGATGGTTTGCCACTGCTATGAACATCATTCCTTCGTTAACATTTGGTTGGGTCTCAGAGAGATGACCTTTTCCAACAGGCAGCAATCAGGTTATTAACACCAAGAGAAAGCTCGGCTGGTTACTTTGAGAGAATGACGATGGGTACGGCTTTTTCAGATTAGGAGTGCAATGCGCTAACGGTGAGTCGTAATGGAACGAACTAGCTGTTCAGCAACTGCTTGTATATGCGGTGGTTGTTTAACTCTGGCTAATTGCAATGATTTTCCCAAAAATTTTGCACATGCGTTATCACTAGCCAAGTCTAGATAACGGTATATGCCGGAATACTTAGGCGAGGGCTGTATATCCACGTCATCTACAGGTGATTGATCCGATGTATGTTCCAACTCTCATCTGAATCGGTTGGGGTGTTTAGCGCCCTCGTTACTCTCACCACTGCCACCTGTTCCAATTTGCTTAGGCTTCTACTGGATCGACCCCAATGGTGGGTCAGCAAAGGATGCCGTGGAGGTGTTCTGTCGCATCAGGTCAAGGGAAACCTGTGTTCAGCCCAAAATTGTAAGGGATCCGACAACGTCACAATCTGCGAATGGAAACTGGTTCGTCGATTTGGAAAACGACAACCGGGTAAGTATCCTTCATTTGGATGTTATTCAGAGGTTTGACAGATGCGCGGTTCTCGCGCTGCTATTTCTCTCGGATTTACTCATCTCCGCCATATCACAGTGCAATGACCTTTGATCATTCGGATCGGAGTTACTAGCTGTATACAATGAACCATCATGTGTGGAGTTATTTTACGTTATTCCCGAATCTAGCAACACTAGCTGTCTTAAACGGCTTTTGCGCACAACTCTGTCGTTGTTGAGCCGATTCCTCATCTGTGGAGCGTCAACACGGAAATCTAAAGGTTGTCCAAAGACATCAAGCTTATTCACATACAGTGTGCATCCAGCAGTCTGTGCAGCAATTTGTGCTCGTTTATTCTGTGCTCAACGTTTGCGTTCAGTTTCAGTTACAGGCTCCTGTCCAAACAGAGTCAACATCGATCGATCGGCCGACTAGCACTGTGCGTATGTTTGCTTAACCGGTGACTGCAGCTGAGCGACTGCGCACACACACGGCGCGCTAATTCACTCACCATCGACGTGAACCTTAAAAGATTGGACGCTTGACTGACCTTAAGACTAGCGCGCAACCATTAAGGTGCGTGTCATCCAAGAACATGACCCATCCCCGGGGGTAAATATGAATCGTGTTATACTCTTCAAAACGAGGCTAAGATGCTGTACCTACTAGAGAATATTTCACTCTAAATAAAAAGTAACTAATCTTTTTACTTATTGACGTTGCGAAAAGCTGTCTCCGCATAGGGTGAAATCAATAAGTGTAGAGTTGTGTTTCACAAATGATGCCATCCAGCTCGATGGCTGGGTCACACATGTTGTACCTGCCAACCCGCCGACTCCCGCGTCGTGCCTTGTTTGCGCGCCCGGGATCTGGATGGAAGGACAGGAGGAGAGGCCAAGCGATGGTTTGGTCAAGAGAAATGAAGTCCCTCACTTCGAACTTGGCATCGGTTGACCTTTCCCGACTGCCGGACTAGGGTCCGAAGGACGATGAACACCTTTGGTTGGATACACTGGCTGACATGGCGAGGATTCGACCTGAACGGTGTTTGTAATGTGAGTCTCTTTGTCTCTCCCCTGCCCTTTAGCTCTCCCTTCCAACAACAATCTCAACCTAATGCCTAAAGTGAATTTAGCATTATGTTACTCTTTTAGCTTTTGTTGTCTGTACTGTGTAATCGCTCATCCTTTTTTGCATTGCGACACTTTCAACTGTCATGTGCTTATCACCCTCGGCTAAGGTGTATTGATGATGATGATATCATCCAAAATAAGAGTGGTGATAGCTCACTTCAGGGCATGAAGTTGGCACGTATGTAAGCATTTTTGTCCTTTACTTTGTTGTTGTCCTATTTTGGAAGTTCATGTTTGTATCACACATTCATTGTGTTAAGGAATAGAATTAGTCGAGTATTCTTAGATATCTTCTAAAGTGGATGTTCTCCTATTTATCCAAAGGCTTCCATAAGTCTGATTTCGTCAGTTAGTTATGGCTGTTCCACAATAAATTCCTTTAGCTGTTGTCTTTCCGAGAATATCACCATATTCCAACATAAAACGAAAAGGAAAACAACAGTTAATTACTCGAAGATACACGGCTTCAGTAAAGCGTCTCTAGCGCTATCCTGTGTTTGTTTTCTAATTCAAAGTGGTATATTACTTCGTTATGGGTTATTTACACTCTCTGATATCATATGCCTTCTGGATTGTCTTCATAAGGTCATGTATGCAAAACAGCAAAGAACCACTTGTCATTCCATACCTGTAATTCAGAAAATGTACTGGCCCTTGGAATTCGACTGGTTAAATGTAGCTGATGGAAGCACCACTTACAATAACACCAGATGATCGGTCGATGCAACACCATTAGTTCAAGGAGTCATCAACGCTGGCTGAACACATGTGGCTTTGACATCATTGCAGCTCTTGTATTACTCAAACCCAGAAAGTACAAATGCACCAAATTATATGAGTGGTCTGATCATCAGTTGATCACTTGTTTGAATGTGTCCAAGAAGCCGGACGAGATACAAAAAGAGACTGTTGTGCCGCCCCCAACCGGTTCAACCCCGTACGGAAGTGAGAACACCAAAAACCAGCCGGACCGAGAGTTCACATTGAATGAGAGCATAGCGGAATAACTAGGTTGAAGCTACAGCAACACGACAACATCGTAGAATTTAATTAATGGCAGTTAACACAACTCGAAACGGTCCAAGTTCAGGGTTCAACTAGCTGCCGACCCCACATAGATTCACGGTTGACCTCTGCTTTAGTTCAAGCTCCAAAAGTAGATAGATCCAATCTTGCTCTTGGCTTGAACGCTGGCTGTAAGCTGGGTCTCCATAACAGATGCAATACCGTGATGGTTGAAGAATTCATCTCACTCATCATCGTTACTTGCGTGGAATTCTACCACAATTTTTCCGCGGAAAATACTTGAGGATGTTATAACTAACAAGTAGACAGATTTATGTATGATTTTATTGGGTTCATCGCAGTTATACTACAAGCCGCAAAGGTGAGCTACCAATCCGCAAAGGCAGCAAATGTAAATCCGCATAACATTTTGTGGGCTGCTAGAGCTTAGGTTTTGATTACTAGGGAGTAGATGGAATTAGGTATGATTGTTCTAGTTCATCGCAATTAGATAACAAGCCGCAAACATGAACTACCGATCCGGAAAAGCAACAAATCTTCGTTTCGCCTTGTTGGGGCATATCAGGGGTGCGCATACACACACATTAAATCATGCCTAAATCCGTCTACTCATTAGTAATCAAAATTAGGCCCTGCCAGATCTCAATATGCTGCGTGTATTCACAGTACTGCAATGGGAAGTATTAGCCCGGACGACCAACCACTTTTCTGCGCACATGCAGTAACTTGCATGGCAGTGGAGGATGGGTTGCGAATATAATTGTCCATATGATTGTCCAAACTGTAGAAACCCGTCTGTACATGTGGTAACAAGGGTACATCAGTGATACCATTTTCAAATATGGTTTCGTGAGATTTAGATATCCGGGACATAGATACTATGTTCTCTGTCGTGCTCAATGGTCCGAGAGGAGGCCGTAATAGGTCCCTCGAGTTGAAAAACGTTGCAGAATGTCGATTATTGATTTGATATACGATCGGTTCACGACAGCACTGTAGCCGAGCCGAGAACCAAAGAACACCGCAAGCGCACGGAAGATCATATTTGCAGAGTGCAACGAGTACGACAGGGAACACAGTATATGACTTCATTATCCCCTCATCGAGTGGGCGTTGTCCTCGACGCACCCGGTGGACCAGGACCAGAACGGATAGAAATGTTGCCCTGGTCACCATAGTGTTGGTTTGAACGAGCATTTTGATTGGCGATTGTGCGATTGTTAGGACGAGACCAAACGGCGATGTGTTAGGATATGTGGAGCACGCAGACACACTTACGCGTGATTTAGTTTGTTCAACTAAGTCTTCCAAATGTTCGGGTAACTTTGCACTTCTTCAAGGAACAAATGGATACGAATGGGAAAAGGACTGTGAATGAGGTGCATCGTGGTGGCGCAATGTCTGGTAATGCTGGGCGCATTGTAATTCGGGATCTGAGCCGGCTGCTTTTGATGAACACACTTAGGCCGATGGTGCTAAAATACCCAGTATGCTAAACGTTCTGGGAGTTACGAAATGATGAGGACAGAGACAGAATATTTTTCGTGAACCGCAGGGAACCCATACCGTATGGGAGCGGTTACCGAGGTTGAGTTTTCAACTGTACGGTGTAATTTATGTGAACATTTGACACACGTGGCTGTACCGCGCAGTCAGAAACGATGGAGAAATCGTAACCGCCACGTAAAGGCACTAGAGATTGACTCAGACTTTCTGAAATAAGTGTTACTTTCTGTGCTAGGATACACAGAGAAAGAGACTGATTGAATTGTGGAACAATTACCTCCAAATCCTTTGTGCATGTGATATCTTCTGAGGTTAGAGGAGTGTAACACTGTCGACGTTCTGGCTGTTACTTAAACCAAAACTGTTGTCATTGACCGTGGAAAGCACGGTGGCCAAGCAAACAGACTGTAAGCTGTGATCTTGCTTGGAATGTGGAAGTCTTCTGGGTAACAGTAGCCGCGTGCATAGTGGTGGCGGATGCTAGAGTACTAGTGGGGAAGTGATGCTGGGCCAGCATCTGTCTCCGAATGCCTTCCGGAAGCGCAATGTTTGACTCGTTCTGAGTGCTGTGAATTCGTGCGTTGGGTCACATGAAAGGACTGTCATCCATGAACGTGCCTCGGACCTGTTTTTTGCTGAGCACAAGTGGACGGTATAAATCTGAAAACTGCTTATATACTTTCTTCCCCGATGCGTCAGAAGGAAGGTCGATAGCTGACATCATCTCACATACTTTAGTGTCCAAGTAGGAAAGGACAGAAGTACCACGCATTCCTTTAGATACCGGACGAATAAAAATGTCCCAAATACTGTTTCCAGGTGGAAAAATCTGTTCCGGTGCAGAGTACCTTGTGAAGCGATTTGCAACAATTGACGAAGTAGCGGGATACTGTAAATTCTCGCGAAGCCATACATGCAATGCGCAATGGCCCGAGTGGGGGCCCTAGTAGGTCCTGTGAACTGAAAAGGGTGAGAGTATAACTTTTGGTTTGACATTTGAGCGGTTCACTGCAGCATAGCAGCTGAGCCGAGAAGTTGAGAACCCAGCAAGCACACGGAAGGGTATATTCGCAGAGGTTACCATGAGCACAAACAGGTAACCAGGTGTATCACTACATACGCTCAGTAAAGTATTACTTGAGAACTATTTTAAACTTATGGAATTTACCCCACTTCCTAATATTTTGTGGCCGTCTGTTACAAAGTTTAGAGTAAGTAGTGAGAAGGTGGTTTGCTTTTATTCTTGTTTTCGTCCTCGGAGTCGGGATCTTGCAACTCACATCACGTATGGAATACCTGCAGTTCTGCAGCATCCACAGATTTACTCTTGTG